CTCCCTCCCCACCTGTCAGTCAGGTCCCCACAGGAAACAGATCAGGGGCTCAGATTCCAGTAAGGGGGCGGGGATGGGTTTTGTTAGCCAAGGGTCCATTTCTGCTGAGAGGGGACAGGGCTTCAGGCCGCCACTAGTAACTGACCCATTGTCACCAGGGGGCCCAGTGGTCCTGGGGGAGGAGTGGCTACTGGGGACTAATGTCAAGGGGGCCACCTGGGGGGCTCATCGCCCTGATCAGGGGACACACCAGCCCAGCACTCTCTCCCCAGGAGGAGCCAGGGGTATGCTCCCATCCTCTCTGGCCTCTGTTCCCTCCTTTGGTGTCTAACATCCCCATAGGCTGGTCCCCTCTTGAAGCTGAGGGCCAGGCAGCCTCAGCATTTGCCAGAGCCTGAGGCAGGCCTAGGATGCAGAATGGAACAAGATGAGAAATGCCCCTTCACAAGTGGAAATGGGGAAGCACAAAAGAATACTGCAGAATCTCCTGGCCGGGGGGCCTGGGGAGCATGTCACCAGCAAAGAATCTCCCTGAGGGCTGCAAAACATGCGCCCAAGGTAGCTCGTCAAGCTCCCCGAGACAGATAGGCCGGCGCAGGCCATGCTGGACTGACGGGCAGCTGGGTAGCAGGACATGCTGTGTAGGGGTGGCCGGGACAGAAGGCCCAGGAAGGAAGGGCCCCCTCAGGGTGCAGAGTGGACTGTGTGCACCAAGAGGAAGTGAGCCCCTGCAGCATGCTCCCGGGATGACACAGTGCTCAAACCTGCACCTGGAAACATCGCTCGGTGCCTGTGAGAGAAACAGACAGGAGGGGCCAGGGCTGGCGGCATCCAGGCTATGAGGGGTGGGTTGCAGGCTCCAGCAGAGAAATTTCTGAACGATGCACAGACAGCACAAGAAGGAGGTGGAATAAAGAAATAGTCAGCTGGGGCAGGGTATAGCTCAGTAGTAGAGTGCCTGCTTAGCATGCACGAGGTCCTGGATTCAATCCCCTGTACTTCCATTTTTAAAAAAAAAAGGAGGAGGAAATAGCCAGCAAAGTGGGTAAAATTGAGGACTGATGTCTGAGTGGACATAAAAATGAGGGGGTGAAGAATGGCACTGTGGGTGCTGGTCCAGGTGACCCGTCGACGGTAGAGCTTTGGCCTGAGACAGAGCAGAGGAGGGGACCAGGCCTGGGTGCTGGAGGCCACAAAACCCGGGGAGGAACTGGCTGCAGGCTGCTGTCCAAGGTCCCAGCACTCTGGCACCACCTCCCTGGCCTTGTGGGAGAGCGGGCAGCTCTGTGTCTGGACCAGTGGGTGGCGACCCCAGGGTTGCAGGCCCCTGTGAGCACCTCCCCGTGCTGGGACTCAGATGGACCAGTGCTGCCATGCAAGTCCTGTCACCAAGAGCCAGGGCTGTCAAGAGACATAGCCCCTCCTGAGAAAGAACAGCCAGGCAGGACATTTAGTAGCTGAGCCCTGCCGCTTCCCAGGGAGCGCGCCTGTGGCATTTCCCCAGAGCACTGTGCACTTCTGAACAGTTTCGATTTGGAAGAGATTGGCTGGATGAGTCAAGAGGCCTGGGGCCTTGAGCAAGAGGAACTCTGCTAAGTGGTGCAGATGAGATGTTAAAGGATGTATCCGTTTGTTTGGGTGACAGACCCGGCAGCTTAAACCACAGAAGTGTGTGGTCTCGTGGTTCCGGAGGCCGGATGTCTGAGGTCAGTGTCATCAGGAGTGGTGCCTCCCGAGGCCCTTCTCCTTGGCTCGCAGACGGCCGTGGTCTTGCCCTGTGTCCTCACATCCTCATAATCTCTACCCTTGTCTGTCTCTGTGTCCAGATCTCTTCTTTTTTAAAAAAAATTTTTTTAATGGAGGTTCAGAGGCTTGAACCCAGGACCTTGTGCATGCTAAACATGTGCTCTACCACTGAGCTACATCCTCCCCACCATATCTCCTTGTCTTGTAGAGAAATCAGTCCTAGGGGGTTAGGGCCCATCCATGTGACCTCATTTTAACTCAACTACCTCTTTAGAGACCTAACTCCAAATGCACTCATATTCTGAGATAACTGAGGTTAGGACACCAACATGTGAATTCAGGAAGGACCCATGTCAACCCATAAGAAAGAGGGAGGTGTTGAGGGCAGTGTGATGGGCTCACATTCTCAGGAGTGTCTTCCTGGAGTTGAGCCTCGTGCCTCCTTGGCCTTGGGCTTGTTCACCCTTGGTGGGGACTTTCGCCCTCAGGAGACCGCTGTAGCACTTGAGTTGCCAAGTCCCTGCTGGGTGATGCCAGTCTCCGGCCTCCCTCCCCTTCTGACGTAGGACCATTCACTCGGGACACAGCCCTCCTCATGGCACGTCTGCACCGGGACCTTGAACAGGCTGATGCACCTGCTGTGGTCCGTTCTGGTCTGGCTTGGTCTGATCAGAAAGCACTGTAGTTGCTAAAAAAGATGTAGGTCATGTCGGAAGCCGAATGCCACACATGTTTCCTATTTCTCTTGAGGTCATCTTTTGTTCTGAATAAGCATGACTGGGACTTGGAGGGAGATGGTTCATCCTTTCCTGCCATCCTGAGGAATGGCTTCCATGGGTGGCTGTTGGCAGAGAACCGTGGCAGGGGGCATCATCTCACTGCAGATGTGGAAGCTGGAGTTTGTGGGTGATGTCTGACATACGCCAGCCTCTTGATGCTCTAGCTAGCACTGAGGTTTCCAGTCTTGAATCTCTTTTTCTTTTTAATTAAAAAAATTTTCATTGAAGTATAGTCAGTTTACAATGTGGTATAATTTCTGTTGTACAGCATAATGTTTCAGTCCTACATATACAGACATATATTCGTTTTCATATTCTTTTTCATTAGATGTCACTACAAGACATTGAATATAGGTCCCTGTGCTGCACAGAAGATACTCGTTTATCTAATTTTATATGTAGTACTTATTTGCAAATCTCCAACTACAAATTTATCCTTTCCCTCCCTTTTTCTCCCAGTAACCATAAGGTTATTTACTATGTCTGCAAATCTGTTTATTTTGTAGATGAGTTCATTAGTGTCCTCTTTTTTCTTTCCTTTTTCTTTTTTTTTTAGATTCTGTATATGAGTGATATCATATGGTATTTTTCTTTCTCTTTTTGTCTCACTTCACTTAGAATGACGATCTCCATGTTGCTGCAAATGGCGTTATTTTATTCTTTTCTTTTTTTTATGGCTGAGTTCTCTTTCAAAAGCAAACCTTTACTCTGTTCTGAAATTGCCAGAAGCGGGCATCGCCCAGGGTTGGTTCCTCTCCGCCTGCACATTCCCTTGTGTGAGTTCTGCAGAACTGGTGCTATGTTGGTAACTTACAGGCTTGTGGGAAACGTGCCCCCCCACCCCCGACATGCTTTTTGGCCTTGTCTTTAGCTTAGCTTCTTTTCTTCACCATGAAATATATTGATTTCCCTGGTCGAGAGGCAGCCCTGTCCCTCATGTGGGTACCGGGGTCCGGATGTGGCAGGAAGTACTCTTTTCCTGGAAACCTTGTGAGCTTCCTCTGACCCTGTACCTCCACAAACCAGCTCTGCACCCCTGGTCAGTGGGTAACATGCTAGGAGCTGGTGGGAGGGGTCTGTGGTGAGCTTCAAGCCCGCAGAGGAGGAGTCTGGGGTGTGGGTGTGTGTAGGAGGGTTGGGCAGGGCTCTCCACCTAGGGCGTGAGAAAGTGGAAGGGTCTTAGAAGACCCTGCTCTTGGAGGGTAAGTGACCCTGCCTGGTGTAGGTTAGACTAGGCCCCTGTTCTGGAAGCCTCCAGGGCCTCCCCTGTTGACCCATTCATCAGGCTCCAGGGACTTCATCTGCCCCAGTGTGGTCCCAGCGTGGACGGTCCTGGCCAACAGGGGGGAGGGTGCAGCCATCGGTGGGTCAAGAGGACGAGTTTGAAAACCAGTGGCTTCCACTGGTTTTCCTGAATCCAAGTAGTAGTGAAACCTGGATGCATAAGAGTGTCTCATGGAATTCACCGCATTTCACATTTAACGTATTCATATTTCTAATAATTTTATGACTTTTTATTTATAAGAAAAATAGAATGCAGAAGATACTGGGGAAACCAATATTATCCCCCTTTGTAGAGAAATACTTGTACTTTGGTGACAACATGAGGGACTGGTGAGAAGCAGTGTCCCTGTGATGAGCAGGACATGGGTGGAGACCACGTCTCAGGGCCTCCCCTGGCCACCTTCCCAACCCAGGCCCCCAGCTTCCGGCACTGCCCTCCCCAGCAGGGGTCAGTCCCGTGGTGAAAATCTTACAGTGATCCTGATACCAGTTCTGACATGTGGGTCTTCCCCAAGCCAAGCGATCCCGTGACAGCAGGTGGGTGCCCCACAGCGTAGTTCAGTCCTGACACCGTCTCCCAGAGGTGGTTTCGGATCTCACAAGTCACAGGCTTGGTCCCATGTCAGGAACAGCCAGGCTCCTGGACCGAATAGCAGAACAAAAGGTGTCCCTAGGGCTCTGATCACTTAGGAAATTACAGGCATTTGGGAGCTTTGCGCCAGGAACCGGGATCAGAGACTCCATATTGGAACAAAAGTTTCTCCTTGCACCCTTATTACAAAGGTGTCAGGAGCCCTGTGTCAGAGATGGGAGGGTGTAGCTCAGTGGTAGAGTGCGTGCTTAGCGTGCACAAGGTCCTGGGTTCAATCCTCAGTACTTATATAAAATAAATTTAAAAAACCTAATTACCTCTCCCCCACCAAAAAAAAAAAAGAATGGGGGACAGAGAAGAAGTCATCTATTTCTTATTCACAAAGCCCACGGGCCAAGTAACGGAACAGGCGTCAGGCTCTGAAGGTGCTTCTAGAAGCCCTGTTACGGTGCAGAGATCCACCAAGACCAGCGCCCCCGGGGTCCAGCTCCCCCCCGCCAGCGCTGCATCCAGGCCGCCCATCCCTCCCAGGGCGGCGCTGCCTGGCGGGGAGGCCCGTGCCAGCGCCCAGGTGACGCGTGCCGCCTGTTCCCCGACAGCGTGCACGACAGCGGGAAGAAGGCTGGGCTCTACAAGGAGAACCTGCTGCTCCGCGGCTGCACCGTCCGCAACACTGAAGCCGTCGTGGGCATCGTCATCTACGCAGGTAGGCGCTGCGTGTCGCCCGCCGTCTGTGGCTGTGCCCCGGGACACGGCTCCCGGGGGGTTTGTATACTTCCGGATTATCAGAGTGGCCTAAACCCACGGTGGGGAACCAGGGGAATAGAAAGGAGCAACATTTCCAGTGACATCTGGGCCCCCAGCTCTCAGCCTGTTGGCCTGTTCCGCCCCGTGCCCGTCTCCGTGGTGGTTACTTATTTAAGGCTAACTGTGTCACCTGCTCTTTTGACTGAGCTTGTCCTGTGAGAATCACTGGGTGGGGGCTTGGTAGAGCTCAGTGGTAAAGAGCGTGCTTGGCATGCACGAGGTCCTGGGTTCGATCCCCAGTACCTCTACTGAAAAAAAAAAAAGAATCGTTGGATGGCAGCACGGTTCTCCAGCCATGGACTTGGAGTAGCCCGCCCCTCACCTGCTGGGTGTTGTCTCACTGTGTTCCCCCATGTCCCCCCCCCACCGCAGGGCACGAAACCAAGGCTCTGCTGAACAACAGCGGGCCCCGCTACAAGCGCAGCCAGCTCGAGAGGCAGATGAACTGCGACGTGCTCTGGTGTGTCCTCCTCCTCGTTTGTATGTCTCTGTTTTCGGCGGTCGGTAAGTCTCCTCTGAGGGTCACTGAGTGGACCCTGCTGGATGGCCGCCAGGTGCGCCTGCTGACCTGGCCCACTCAGCGCTCTAATTCACACACCTTTGTCCCCCGACGTGGACTCAGGATGTTGATCAGCATGGTCACGGCGAGCCGCCCAGATGGTCGGGGTGCGCAAAGGCGTGGGTTTTGAACTGGCAACCTCTTGGGTGGGAGAACGGTTTCATTGCACCAGTAGTAATGATTCCAGTGGAAGAAGTGTTTATGTCCTGGAGCAATGTTCAAATCATAGCAGCAGAGGCACAAAGGCTGCTAATGGGAACTCTGTGAAAGGCGGAAAGACATTATCTGGTCCCGAGAAGAGATGAGCAGTTAGGCTGTGTGCGGACTCCGGTGCTCGCCAGCCGTCGCTGGTCTCCAAAGCCGCGAGCTGCCTCGAGAGCCCCTGGCAGGTCCTAGAGCCTTCAGCTCCCTGTTAAATGACCTTCACCAAGTCCCTGCTCAGCTGCTGTCCCACAGACGGGTGTGATGGGTGTGACAGGTGTGCCGTGGCCTCAGAGCTCGGCGGTAAAAGACACAGGTGCACAGGAGCTGAGCAGGGCTCTGTGGTCAGACAGGTGTGGGGCTCAATTGATGAGGTAATGTGTGTTGCTGTTGGCTTCTTGGAGCCTGTGAGATGTGACTTTTGAATCTCCAAGAAGAGACGGGAATGGGCAGCATCCAGAGCCTGCTGAGACCGGTACCTTGGAGGCACACGGTGAGAAACTCCTTTCTGGAGGTTTCTCATTGACACATCCAGTTCCTGCACTATGACCAGGGATGCTGTTCAGAGCCAGTGACAGGACAGGGCTGGGGTGAGGCAGAGTCCAAGTCCCAGCATGCCGATCGTGGATGCCAGCGATACTGCAAGCCTTTGCTTTCTTAGGTGCCAAGCAGGCTCGTAAACCCCGTTGCACCTGTGTCAAGGAATAGTCTTAAAAGTTTGCTTTGATTTGCGCTAGCAGTGTTCCTGTTTTTATGTCAGGCGAATGACACTTCTCTTTGAACATTGCTCCAGGACATGGACTGTGGGTGCAGCGCTATCAGGAGAAGAAGTCATTGTTTGATGTCCCCGAGTCTGACGGCACCTCTTTGTCCCCAATCACAGCGGCGGTGTACTCGTTTCTGACAATGATAATAGTTCTGCAGGTAATGACGCTAAGTACCACATGACAATTGCTTTACATTCCCGCTGAGAACTTAAAGTCGCCACACTCAGCTGAGAACTTCCTACCAATTCTGCATCTGGGAGGAGCACAGATTCACCGGCCTAATGTATTGCCTTCTGTTTTCCCCCTGATACATCTAAAGGGTCTTTTCTTGGGGTGCTTTTCAACTGAACATTCTCCTTTGCTATTCTTAAGACTCTGAGGCTTTGAGAGGTTGGTTTTTTGATCCTTGTTTTCTGTTTTATTTTTCCATTCAATTACTTCTTTTTTTCCCCCTACACTTCTTTTGGGGGGGTTGGGGGTAAAATAAGTCTGTTTGTTTGTTTGTTTGTTTGTATATCTATTTATCTATTTAACTGGAGGGACTGGGGATTGAACCCAGGACCTTGAGCATGCTAAGCACATGCTCTACCACTGAGCTATACCCTCACCCTGCCACCATTCAATTACTTCTTGAAAAAGAAAATTTCAAATTTTCTAAATTTTATTTTGGAACAATTTTAAGATTTACAGACAAGTTGCAAAAAATAGTATAGAGAGTTCCCACGTGTCCTTCACCCAGTGTGTGAGCATGTGAGCATATTGTGTTACCACAGTACCTTGTCAAAGCTGGGAATGAACTCTGGTACCGTGAACGAAACTCCAAACGTTCATTTGGATTCCATTAGTCTTTTTTCCACTAATGTGCTTTTTCTGTTCCAGGATTCAGTTCAGGAAATCACATTGCACTTTGCAGCATTGGTTATGATTATGATCATGATTATTACTATTACATTACTGTTATTAGTTCACATGCCTCCTGAACAATTCCCCATCACTAACTGAGGATCTGTGCCCCAGGGATCTGTTGGAGCAGAAGGGGGCTTTGAGCATCCCTGCCACCTTCAGGAGCACAGAGTGAACAGAGGATGAGGCTTAGCCCTTTGCCTGCTCTCTTTTCTCATGTGTACTTCATCCAAGGGAGAGCAGTCTTCTTTAACTTTCCAAATTAGTCTCCTCTATGAAAGCATGTTTCGTTCTGGCCTTGAGCTGGTACTGTGGCAGGTGTTGCATTAACATATACTGAAGTTACCCAGAGAACCGGTCAGTCTGGATATGACCTCTGAGCCCACTGATAGCGGTTCAGTACCTTTACTCCACACGAAAAAGAAAACAAATGGAGGACTGATTCCATGAAGATTACTCTTAAGTTGCCAGTGCATACCTGTGACTGTTCTCCAAGCCTTCTTCCCTCTGCTCTGTATCAAGATCACAGAAAAGTGTTCTGTTCACGGAACCAGCCTCTGAAAAGACTGTCTCTTCTGAACTGTGGGGTTGTGTCTGCAGGACGGGCCGCTCCTGTCACCGGGAGCTCCCTGGACGGCCTGGGTGCGAGGTGACTTTGCTTATGAGGACTCTGACTGTGCTATGTGTTTTGCTTTGTTTTTTTCTCTTTTCTCTCTTTCCTTTCCTAGCTTCTGTCAAGCATGACTTAGTAATCCGACACGCTTGCTTCTGTCCAAGCCATGGTTACCACACTTCCAGACACCGCAGTGGATTTCCGCTCTGCAGTGGGACCATGGGCTTGTCCTAGTTTAAACTCGCTGCCAGTATCCTAATATTTTCCAGTACTGACTGTAAACCAACCTGGTTAAGCTCTTAAAGGTACAGTGTAGTCCCTACTTGCTTGTGGTTGTAGTTATTTGTCGTTTAAATAGATTGGACTAACTCCACAGCTTCCGGCTCCTCACCATTGCTCATTCCATGTGCTTTGTGTCTTGTAGGTTTTGATCCCAATTTCCTTATATGTTTCCATTGAAATTGTCAAAGTGTGCCAAGTGCACTTCATCAACCAGGACATCGAGCTGTACGATGAGGAGACGGACTCGCAGCTGCAATGTCGGGCTCTGAACATCACGGAGGACCTAGGGCAGATACAGTACATCTTCTCCGACAAAACCGGCACTTTAACCGAGAATAAGATGGTTTTCCGAAGATGCACTGTGTCTGGCGTAGAGTATTCCCATGATGCAAATGGTGAGTCTGGGGCTGGGGGCTCCCAATCTGGGCTCAGCCAGGGAGCTGCTCTGTTAGAGATGCACACCTGTGTGTGTGCGTGTACACACGCATGCTTCAGGGATTGCTGGTTTTTGAGGGAGAACAAGACAGAAAGGCTGTCGGAGCTGCTCGGGAACCTGAGGCCTGGCAGCATCCACAGCAAAGGCTCCTCCGTGTTTCCTGCCAGACAAGTTTAACCAAGGAAGGCAGCCTGGAGAAGCTCACATTCGAGGCACTGGGTCTCTGTCACATCAAGAGGCAAAGAGATGTTTCCTTGGTCACCCATCAGTCTCCTTGTTATCAGCTGCAAATTCTCAGAAGGGTGTCGGCCAGTTCATGCTGCGTTCTTTCCTCTGGAATGTGACATCTGCGGAGATGGAGGGACGTGTCACCTCACTTGGGAGTTCAGGCAGTCCTTTCCTCATCCTTGGCCGCCTCCATTCCCTCTGAATGCTCAGGGGAGCCATCTGCTTCAAGGTGTGACCAGAGCCACCCGCCCGCCCGAGCCAGGAGGGGGTCCCCGCACCACAGGGCCATCGTACCTCTGAGTAGGGTCACCTGCTCTGTACCAGCAGGACTCCCCTCCTTTCCTGTACCAGCATCTGAGAGCATCAGAGAAGTCTTGCGTGGAAACAGAGGCAAATCCAGAACTGGGGGACAGCACGTGGGCATCAACAGAAGACTGCTTTTTAGGGGCATTTGGTGGGAAAGATCTGTTGGAAGCATGAGATTTTTGTGAGTTTTGTAAAACCAAAGCAGGGGCAGGTATAGCTCAGTAGTAGTGTGTGCTTAGCATGCATGAGGTCCTGAGTTCAATCCCCAGTGCCTCCATTTAAAAAATAAACAAATAAACCTAATTACTTCCCCCATATATATATATAAAACCAAGAATTATCATGATATCCACTAGTGTCTTCCACATAAAATTAATCATCTTAGCAGAAGGTACAGAAATGGATCTGTTTTGTTTCGTGTTTGATTTGCCACCCAAAAGAAGCAGTCAGTAACAGTGTCCCCTCCACCCACCTGCCTCCCTCTCTCGGTTCACTTCCCTTGACTCCTCAGCCTTGTGCAGACGAGTTCGTTGGCCTGAAAGCAGAGCTCAGCCTAGTTGTAAAGGAGTCAGTCGGAGGACCCAGGTCTGAGGTCAGCCTTTGAACGCTGGAACTGAAGCTCCGTGGGCAGAATCCCAAATAAGACTCCAGAAAGATTTTGACAGTTGTCGGATGCGTACCATAAAGCAAAGGGGTCCATCACCCTGGAAGACAGAGGACAGCGTTTCTGGGGAAGACTGAACCAACCAGGTGTGTCTGCAGCACTTTAAGGAAGTACTGGATCAGTGACTGACGTGCCCCGGGGCCAAGAGCACCTTCCCCAGCTGCTTGCATGATCTAACCTCTCAGAGCTGGTTGGTGAAATGAATTCAGGTGGATTTGGCTCTGAGCGCTGAGCCCAGCTCACGTGTACCTGCACTGGCCACACGGACCGTGGGCGTGTCCCTCTCTACCTTGTGTCCTGGTGATGGTACAGGACCAGGGCCCGCATCACCTGCTCCTTGTCCCCGTCTTCCCCAAGGAACCGAGGGCATCGCTGAGGCCACTGCTGGCCAGAAACTGCTGCACGGGCACAGAGCACAGACACACCAGCAGGGGCCTGAGGCATGGCCACTTTTAGGCTAACATCTGATCACCGCTATGGGAGGGTGGGCAGGGCAGGCAGGCCCTCGGAAGGCTGACACCACGCTCGTGATGCCCAAGCCTTCAAGCTGGACGGACTGGTCCAGGCTTTTCTCTTCTCCATCCACTCGCCACGGCGCTGCCAGTAGCGGGAGGGACACGCAAGAGTCTGTTTTGCCCCTGGAACTAGGAGTTCCCTGAGTTGGGATCCTGGCGCCAGCAGTTACCCGGCCTTGTGACCACGGGCAGGTGACTTCCCTTGCCTTATCTCTGAAGAAAGGTCTTTCTTTGGAAGATGCTGAGTGCAAGGCCTGGCCCACGGGGCAGACTGTGCCACGCATGCCCAGGCCAGAGACCCTCGCAGCCGCTCTCGCAGACCGCTTCGCGTTAGGATGTCTTGCGCTGCCGCCCAGCACTGGACCTGTTTTGAAGCTCTCACAAGTCACTTACTGAGTGAGACGTCCTCTTGACTAACCTCCTCTCGCTCATCCACGATGGAAAAAGCTGAACTAACTGGGCGAAGCCAGGAAAATGTGCTGAGAGCCTCCCTCAGCGAGAGCAGCGCTGCAGGTGCACTTCTGTGAACCCCCGAGGGCCCTGGTGGCCACAGGGACTGTGGCTTCCCAGCGGCCCCTAAGGGCTCAGGCATCAGGTCAGGCTCCTCCTGGGAGCTCTGCTCACTGGGCCTGAACTCTGGCTCCTCCATGCTGTGTGACCCCGGGGGGCTGGGAGCCTCCCTGATGCAGGGTGTTTCATCCTTGTGGGGTGAGTGCGGACGGTACCCTCCCCACCCCTGACCCTGAGCAAGGAGCCCCCACAGGAAAGCGCCATCCACACGGCCTAAGAACTGTTACGTCTGCGTGACCACAGGGCAGATGCTCAACACGTGATCTGTCCTGATGGCTCCAGTGGGGAGGTGGCCCTGTGACCCCAGGATGAGCCTCAGGGGTCACACTGGCCCACCCACCCCGTTTACACCTGGGCTCCCCCTGAACAGAGGGGCTGTATGTGAACCTGTCTCCACCCACATGTGACTTGTTTGTGGGGCGGGATGGCCTCTGTGCCATCAGACAGGACCGGAGCCTTGGCATCCCATGGGGTCTGAGTGCTGTCTCCATGCCCTGCCTCTGCTTCCTGTGACCTTAATGAGCTGAGACTCAGTCTTCTCACCTGTGAAATGGGGTTGACTGAAGGCACACGTAAATGACAACAGCCCCCACCTCTCAGTGGAAACCCCTGTCAAACGTGGCCTTGCCACTAGGGAGCGACGGTAGCAAGGGCTCCCTGCTTGAAACTGATGCGCTGAGTCAGTTTCATGCCCAGCCTCCCCATGGTGTGTCACTGTGTCCCTCTCCCTGCAGCCCGGCGTCTGGCCAGGTACCAGGAGGCAGACTCAGAAGAGGAGGAGGTGGTGCCCAGAGGGGGCTCGTTGCCCCAGCGCGGCAGCTCCGGGAGCCACCAGAGCGTCCGCATCGTGCACAGGAGCCAGAGCACCAGGTCGCACCGGCGCACAGGCAGCCGCGCTGAGGCCAAGCTGGCCAGCATGCTGTCCAAGCACACGGCCTTCAGCAGCCCCATGGTGAGTCCCGCCCCACTCCTTCCTGCTGTCACCTCCCCTCCAACTCCGGCTCACCGGAAGTGTCTGTGCTTCATGGTACAAGCAAACTCTTGCTGGTGGGGGTCACCTCTGTTCAGTTAGGGGACGTTCCTCTGGCCAGGGCCTTCCCCTGGCTCACACTGCTGTATCTTTTCCAAACACTGACACGGTCCCCTTACCAAGTTTCTCAGGCTGGGGACTGCCAGTGATCCACCCAGACGGGTGATGGAGAGGAAGACTGTCCCACCACATGGAATGAAAACAAGTGTCAGAGCAAGATAACAGCTGTGAAAAAAGCAAACTCAAATTAAAAATTAAAGTTTTAGTTAGATGAGCCCAAATTTAATAAACATCTCTCTCCCTTGTTTTGTCAGCTGCCCAGATATTTACGGGCCATTCTCATCTGACAGGGAAGTTTCCAGAAGTGCATGATAACTTCTAAAAGACACTTTCACTCTAAAATTTTTGAAGACCAGAGAGGGAGAAACCATTTTGCTCACGTATGGTGGCCTCGTTCCTTTACATCCTTTGAAACCCCTGTAGAAACTGCCCTTTGAATAGAAGTCACCTAGAATGGTGGTCGCTGATTGGTGGGTTTACACGGGGCACGTGGGTAGGGAGCTCTCACGCTGGGCAGGAGGGAGGCTGTGTTGGAACAAGTTTTCCTGACGTGGATTTCGCAGTCAGTATGGGTCAAGAGTATTCGAAGTGTTCCATCTCTCTGACCTAAGAAGTCAGTGATTCAATCAAGGATTTCTCTGCGCAGAAGCTTATCAGTGTGTTAGTTATGTCAGTAAGCAGTGAAAACGTGCATCCAGTGATAAAGATAATGGCCAAGTAAATGATGGTATGTCTGTTTTGAAACTTAAGAAGTTGTGTTTTCAGACTCACAGACTTAGAAAACAAACTGTGGTTATCATAAGGGGAAAAGGGTGGAGGGTAGGGATAAATTAGGAGTTTGGGACTAACATATACACAATCTATGTAAAATAGATAAACCACAAGGACCTACTGGGTAGCACAGGGAGCTACAGTCAATCTCAGAATGACCTTTAACGGAAAAGAATCCAAAAAAGAATATACATGTGTATGTATAACTGAATCACTTTGCCGTACACCTGAAACCAACACAACATGGTAAATCAACTACACATCAATAAAAATATTATTAATTCAACAACAGTAAAAATTAACTAAGTTAAAAAAAACTGTGTTTTCAAATAGCTCTTAAAGGCCTGGTAAAGTTGAGGCAATATAATGTTTCTGGGGAAAATAGAAACTTCCAGTTTATGTATAAAATATTTTGATTCTATAAAATGTAAATGTGTAGAAAAAAGACTGGAAGGAAAGGCAGATGCATGCTTTTCAAAAAGTGCATATTACCGTGAGGTGGTGTGATACAAATTTGTTAGGTTTTTCCCTATTACTCTCTTATTTTTCCAAATCTGAGTAAGATATGTTACTTTATAATAATGTATATTCTTAGTATTATTTTATAAAAAGGACATGTGTACCTTATTGTATATAATATATGCATTTCATTTCAGGTGTCAACTGTATATTCTTATATAATTAAAATCATACATGATGTATTATTACAAAAAGACGTATGTGTATATGTGAGGTGAGGTGAGGTTCACAGCTTCTAGTAAAATCAAGGCATACTAAATAGTCAAGCACCAAGACACCTGGCAGGCGGGGTGGGGAGGGTGTATAGCTCAGTGGCAGAGTGGGTGCCGAGCATGCACAAGGTTCTGGGTTCCATCCCCAATACCTCCATTAAAAAATAAATAAATAAAATAAATCCCTTCCCTCCCCCCCAAAAATAATAATAATTGAAGGGGTAAAAAAAAGTCTATTAAAAAAAGAAAAAGATGCGTCGCAGGTCACTGGATCAGACTGACCCCTCGGCCTCTGTGTCCTCCCCAGGAGAAAGACATCACGCCCGACCCAAAGCTGCTGGAGAAGGTGAGTGAGTGCGGCAGGTGCCTGGCCTTCGCGAGACACCAGGAACACCCGCTGGCCCACCTCTCGCCGGAGCTGTCTGACATCTTCGACTTCTTCATCGCCCTCACCATCTGCAACACAGTGGTGGTCACATCCCCTGATCAGCCGCGACAAAAGGCAAGTTCTGGAGTCCCCATCCCTGTGAGCCCGCAGAGCCCCGCCATCATCAGTTTCCCACAGAAGCCAGAGTCGCTCAGCACTGCTCTCTGGTCTAAGGGGGTGCAGCTGGGAACTTCAGATAGAGCAGACCAGCTCACTAGTTCTGCAGTGACGTTCCCAGACTAGTGGGCAGGTGTTAGGATTGTGGCCAGGGGAGGAGGATGGATGGCCGGAGACAGCTATGGAGCCCGGGATGAGAGGGACACAGAGCAGCCAGGAGGGTGGCCACCCGACCTGCCTCCCAGTGCTGCAGGGTCCTCAGTTTTCACAGCGAGGACAGAACAGGCTGGGGCTGAGACTCCGGGAGGAGTTGCTGGGACCTGAATCCTGACGTTGACACCAGCCAGCCCCCTCCTGTGTCTGGGACGTGGGCGCGGTGGTGGGGCTTTAGGGCCAGGGCTCCGAGTAGGGCTGGGCACACAGTAACTGTATCTGGCGTTCATAACATTGTCATTCAAGGAGTGGTTGAGAATCAGTGGGAAGTGACTGAAGGTGGCGGGAACATGGCAGTCCTCGAGCTGGGTTTTGTTTGGGTTATCGTGAAGATTCTCTCCCAAGAGAGTAAGGTTTTCTGTGTGAAAGGAGCCTCTGTGAACCCAGGAGCTCCTCAGAAGGTCGTCCAGGTGAGCCAGGTGGTGTCAGGTGGGGGGTGCACCTCAGCATGGCTGAGCGCGATGCACCGAGGCAACTTTAGGTGGATACAAATGAAGGTCTTCCAGGGCTGGATGCATGCCATGTCCCCGGGCCCCCTACTCTCCCAGGTCCCTTCCCCTCCTCCCGAGCCAGCCCTTGCAGCACGTTCCGCCAGTGAAGCCACTGGTGGGTGATGGAGGCTAAACAAGGGGTCTCTGCCCTCTTCGCCGCAGTGGCATATCTGGCAGCAGCGTGTGCCCCTCCTGCTCTTGCTCCTGCCACACTGGCCTGCGGAGTCAGTCCCAGGGCCTGGGCTGCGGCTACCCGACAAGCAAATCCTGAAAGAAGGAATAACTACTGCATAGCCTTTGGTTAGGGGAAGTGGACGAGGCCGAGGGACGAGACCCTGGCCTGGTTGCAGTTTTGAGTGGGAAATCTGTGTTCCCGGCCCCACCCGGGAAGTGGAGGAGGGCCCTGTGGGGGTCGGGGTGAGCCCCTCACCTGCCTTCTGCCCGCCTCTCCGGCAGGTGAGGGTGCGGTTTGAGCTGAAGTCCCCGGTGAAGACGATAGAGGACTTCCTGCGGCGGTTCACGCCCAGCCGCCTGACCTCGAGCTGCAGCAGCGTCGGGAGCGTGGCTGCCACCAAGTCCGCCCACAAGGCGGGGTCCAGCTTCCTGTCCACCCTGCCCAACGACGGCGCGCTGCTCGGGCTGGAGGAGCGGCTGGGCC